CTAACTATATATATATATATATATATATATATATATATATATAACCTTGTACCACCACAAAATTAATGTCATTAGCAATATGTTCTTTACTAAACAAAGTTGCATCCCAAGAGCAAATAACCCTTATTTTCCTATTGCACCGGTAAAAGTAAAGTTAAAAGATAAACAACCCTAAATAGCTCGGCCCACCTCAAAGTCATACACACCATTACAGTCTGAAGAATCTATTTAAAACTCCCCAACACAATGTCAAGGAATAGGTACGACAAAATGTTACTGAGGAAGACATCAATTCTTAGTATGTAGAGCACCAAGTGTGGTGTTGTCGACGCCACATCATCTTCCATGTCACTGGTGTTGAGCTCTTGTCATCCCCACTCTTTACGGCCTAATACACATTTGCTTGGACCATGCCCCAAACCTAACCTCTAATATTCAATGAAAAAACGTATATTTTAAACTTTTTATAATTGTCATTCATCATGATTATTGTTTTAACATCTTTTTCTTGGCCTTATTAAAGCGCACACATACTCACCTCCAATGTACCTAACTGCAAGGGGAGTTGATTATTACATAATTGTTTTGCTATACATAACAATTTTTGTTTTAGATGAGTTTTAAAATATGCAAAAAATATCATTATTGTGTATGGCAAAAAAACATTTGTGTACAAATCAACTCCAACTTCAATATCATTACCTTCTTGTATGACTAAATGATTTTGCAAGATGTGGCTATTGCACAACATATTTGTGAATCCAAGTCAGAATAACTAATAATCTTTACTTATTAATATGACTTGTTAAGACATCCCCAACCCATTAAACTTTATAATGTTTAATAGATTTTCATATCAACATTCCGCTTTTATATAAAACTTACAATTTCATTTCTTTAATACACTAAACTCTATAGAGTTTAGTAGAACATATTTAAAAAATGAAAAAAAAATTGTTTTTCTCATTGAATAGTGAAATAATGAATGGTGATTCTAGAATAGAAACCATATGGTTCCCTAATTAGGTTCAACCGAACCAGTTTAAGAAAAAACATGTTCAATCAGAAAAATTACCGCTTCAACATGTATAAAAGCTCGTGGTGAGAGGACCGCGTCCAGACCGATCATTCATTATTTTTTTTTATTAAAATCAACTTAAACTTGGAGTAAAACCGGTTTGAACCATGCCTCGACACGTTTTAAGGTGTGAAAGTATGAAAAAAAAACTATTTATAATGGAAAATCTTCCACCATTTTCTTCTAGAGTTGATGTTTAGAGCCGATGTGAGACTAATTTTTGTCACCAAATATGTTATGTATTGTACTGCCTATATAGTCTATACCACTTTTTTCCTTTTTTTTGTTCAATAATATATGGTAGATCCTTCAAAATTTCTAAGTTAGGTCCTAAATTTTTTGCTTTACAATTCTAAAGAATATTTATAAATTTAAGTGGGTCAAAGGACCATTGGTGGACCTATATGTATGCCCGAGTTATTACTCTTCAAATTTTTTGGCATAGTGGAGTTTTTTTGAAAAAATTTTCAACATAGAATAATTTTTCTAGTTTGTTATCCTTAAAATCATGAGTGATACCTTTGAATTTTTTGTTCTAGGTCCACACAGCAAAGGACCCACTGTTTTCCTTCGTAATCTTGTCGTGGCCATAACTATTAATCTTCAAATTTAATGTATTTCAATTTATAATATTATTGCGGTTAGGTTTAATCCAATAACTATCAATTAGGCATTTTTCATATCATCCAATAAGGAGTGACTCTTTCAAATGAGAGGTCATGGGTTCAAGTCTCGTTAGGAGATATAGATGGTGTTTAGGATTAACTTAGTAGTAGGATAGTTTACCGTTTCAAAAAAAAAAAAAATTCATTAAACCATACATTAATTCATTATGGATGTCCCGAGTTCGTTTAAACTAAGATCTTTTTTCTTTATACTTCGAGGAAATAATTTTTTATAGTGATTTGTACCTTTATTCCTAAACGAACTATAATTTTGATTAGAAAAACCAACCGACCTTGTCGAATCAAACCCTCTTTCTATATGACACGAAGCCACCAGTTAAAATACTTTGTCATCATTCCCATCGACATAGGCCAATATCCCCCACAACATTTTGCTGCCCCACGTGTAATCACTCCCGAGTCCCAAGTCCCAAGTGGGATTTTGGCCATATACTCATAGGTCATAACTCATGAACTAAAATATCAACTATGTGGAGATTGGGTTGGGTCACACCACTACTAGGCTTAGTCCAATTCCGTCAGCCCATACGTAACTCAACATCGTTATGAAAATCCACAGTCGACGCATCTTTCAAAATAACTTGAAATTAAACTATCGTCCCACGTTTGGATTATATAAAAAAAATTGGAATGTCAAAATGACAAAATGATAAATAAGTAATAACCAAATTACCATATTGTGTTTATAAATTGTTATTTGTTTTATAAATACATATAGATAAGAAAATGAACCGAAACACTTGTTTCTATAACACCAATTTGTTGAAAGTTTCAAATTTATGTGATTAATTCATATCGAAAAATGGTTTGCATAACTTTTAAGATGGAGTAATATTTAAGTCAAACCTCATGACTCGTTTGATCAACAGGGGATGGTTTGCATCACTACATCGTCAATACTACCACAGCTACGACCACCGCCATGTCCAACCAAAGAGAATTGCACAGAAGCTACTTCCTCTCAGCTATGGATCCTCTACCTCTGCCTATTCCTCACCTCCCTTGGCTCCGGCGCCATCCGCCCTAACGTCGTCACCTTCGCCGCTGATCAATTTGACATGTCCACCGGCAAATCAAACCCCAGCAGCGTCGGACGTAACTTCTTCAATTGGTACTACTTTTGCATGGGACTCGCAACACTCACAGCTCTAACAGTTGTCGTTTATGTCCAAGATCGTGTCGGTTGGGGATTGGGACTCGGCATCCCAACCATCGCGATGGTTTTGTCGTTCCTCGCGTTCGTGGTCGCTGCTCATCTTTATAAAAGGGTGAAACCCGAAGGTAGCCCATTGGTTCGAGTCGCTCAGGTGGTGGTTGCTGCTGTTAAGAAAAGGAAACTGGTTGTACAAGAAAACTCGACTCCTCTTTACGAAAATAGGAAGTTGGATGCTGGTATTTCAGCCGATGGAAGACTTCTTCATACTAATACGTTAAAGTAATTAGCTTTACTTTGACATTAAAGCAAAAAGTAATAAGTTCATAACTCATAAGTATTGTTATATATCAATATTGTCATATCGCAGGTGGTTTGATCGAGCTGCGATTGTAACACAAGATGACATAAAAGATCCTTCATGTCCGAACTTATGGAGGCTAGCGACAGTCCACAGGGTGGAGGAGATAAAATCCGTCATACGAATGATACCCATATGGGCAGCGGCGATTCTCCATGTCACGTCGCAATCCCATCAACATAGCTTCATCATCATACAAGCAGGAACCATGGATCGCCATATGTCCCCTTCTTTCGAAATTCCACCTGCAAGTCTATCGATCTTCGGTGTCCTCACCATGCTTATCTGTCTCTCGACCTACAAGCGTTTCTTCGTCCCATTTGCACGACGCTTCACCAAAAACCCTATCGGCATCACATGCTTGCAGCGAATGGGAATCGGTTTTGCTATAAACATATTCGCTACATTAGTCTCGGCACTGGTTGAAATAAAGCGAAAACAAGTAGCATCTAATCATAACCTACTTGACAAACCAAACGTCGTGATTCCTATATCTGTTTTCTGGCTCGTTCCTCAGTTTTGCTTGCATGGTGTAGCGGAGGCGTTCATGTCAGTCGGCCATTTGGAGTTTCTTTACGATCAATCACCGGAAAGCATGAGAAGTACTTGCATGGCGCTGAATTGGATTGCAGTAGCCATAGGGAGCTACATTGGGACGTTGGTGGTATCGTTGATTCATGAGTACACTGGAAAGGAACACAACTGGCTACCAGATCGGAATCTGAACAAGGGGAAGTTGGATTATTACTATTGGTTGATGAGTGGTATAGAAGTAGTGAACTTAATGTATTACGTGACTTGTGCTTATTACTATACAAATAAACCGCTGGAATTGATTAAAGATGGACAAGGGGAAGGCGATTTGGAGTTGGCTGAAGACAAATCGCGCTCTTCAAAGTCGTTATTGGATGGCCGGAATCGAGATAGTGAAGAAAATGGGCATCAAGATTACAAGGAGAAAAGAAGCTTATAGTTATATAGGGATCAATCCTGGACGATATGGTTAGGTAGTTACTAACCGCATGGCAATGTAATAAAAGTGGATTCATAATTCCTATAATGTACTCGTATTCATAATTATCAATGTTCATCCTGCAAAGTTCTCTTTTTCATTTTTTGAGTGTTAAGTGCAATCTTAATTTGCAACCCGGGTCTTCTAAATCAAATACATTGGATACGTTTGAAACTTAATTTACCCATAATAAAAGCTGCGATTTTGTTTTTAATTTATGAAATTTCAAGACTTTACGTTAATGAGAATAAGAGTTATCATGTGATAAGTTATGAATCAAACGTGTTGTTATTACCGATTATACATATACACGTGATCCGAGAATATTACACCATATTGATTCTCTTTCATCTTGGAAATATGATCTGGAATCCGGACGATACACGAGTGCTGCAGAGTTGGTGGAAGTTTTATGGATGGGTAGGTTGTTTGGGATGAGTCCGCCGGTTATGAGATATTTAGCGTTCATCTAGGAGTGAGGATTGAGCCCATGCCATGCTTATGTATAGTTTTAGGGCGTAGTGATGATACTTGGGTCAAATATGGGTAGGCGTGGAAGGTAGTATGAGCTCGTACTACTGAAATCACAGGACCCATACGCGTAGCAAAGAAGTCACAACTCCAAGGGTTTTGGTTGGGAGTTGGTTCCCGGATTGTTATGTGGAATATCTGATATTTTTTTGGTATGTTTTTCAGCATGGTGGTTACACGTTGATTCGTGACTGGATCCGGGTCAGGATCAGGAGAGGGCGGACAGGAGGCGTCGACAGCGCCAGAGACTATCAGCCAGATTAGGCCAGATGAGATGGACGACAGGATCCGAGAGATCCTGCATGATGTGGTTGCTGCCATGTTCCGGGCTCAGTTGCCGGAGATGATTGGGTCTATCAAGACCGCTATGGTGGAGTACTTTGATGATCGATATGCAACCCCCACTGAGGCGGCTGCCGCAACAGCCACAACAACTGTATCGGCGACAGGGTTGGGAGCCGGTCGGGCTTTTCAGTATCGGGACTTCGACAACACGAAGCCCCCTACTTTTGATGGGACTCAGGATCCCATCAAGGCTATGAGATGGTTATCTGATGTGGATGGGTGCTTCTTCACGTGTTCATGTCCTACTGACCAAAGGTCAGATGTGCCTTGAACCTGCTGAGGTCTGGGCAAAGGACTGGTGGAGGTTGATGACTAGGTCTTACACTGATGATCAGAGAGTTGCGGTTACTTGGGAGCAATTCAGGGATATGTTCTGCGCTCGCTACATTCCACGACTCGAGCGGGAACGGTTAGCTCGGGAGTTTCTGGATCTGAGACAGGATGGTGAGACGGTGACGGAGATCACCCGCATGTTCACCGAGAGGGCGATGTTCTGCCCGGAGTTTGCTTCTGAGCAAGCTCAGATGACTCGTTATCTGAGCATGCTCAAGACTGATATTCGACAGTTTATGGCGACCCGGCGTTGTGATACGCTTCTGGATTTACAGGAGGCCGCAAGGCGGCGTGAGCTTGAGATTGAGCTACAACTTAGAGAGCAGGGTCGGGCCCCGACAAAGGCACAGCCGGCGCCGAAGCGGTCTAAGACCGCTGATTCCAGATCAGGGGGACAGTAGGGCCGCACTTGTGGCAAGTGCAGAAAGGGTCACTCGGGGGTTTGCAGGTTAGGCAGTGCGGCAAGGAGGGGCATTATGCGAAGGATTGTCGCCAGGAAGCCCCGGTTTAGGATATGAGGATTTGCTACCATTGTCATCTGGTTGATCACGTGAAGACCATCTGTCCACAGCTCGCTGCCAGGATGGCGCAGGCCCCAGCGCCGGCTACACTGAGGATTACTGACGGGGGTCAGGGTCAAGCAGCGCCCCCGAGGGCCTAGGGACACGCCTTCCAGCTTACAGCAGAGGAGGCCAGAGCAGCATCAGATGTGGTTGCTGGTATGTTTCTATCCCTTATCTTACTGATTATATCTGTTTTATGCTTATATGTTTGTACCTGTGATTAGGTACGTTTTTAGTGAACTCCTTACCTGCTTTGGTATTATTTGACTCGGGGGCGAGTCGGTCGTTTGTTTCTCATACTTTTAGTAGGGAGTTCGGGTTTCCAGTGGGAGAGTTAGAGTGTCCGCTGCGAGTCTCCATCGCCAACGAACACGGGATTTCCGCTTCTTCGGTCTATCGGGATTGCATATTGGAGATTTTTGGAGTATCTTTTCCGATAGACCTGATTCCGATTCCCATGGGGGATTATGTATGATCGTGGGTATGGACTGGCTTAGTCGTTTCGGTGCCATGAAAGACTGTGAGGGTCAGCGAGTTGTAGTTCGAACCCCAAGTGGGGGAGAACTGATTATTTATGGCGAGGGCACCAGATTGAGATTAAGGTTTTGTTTAGCTACCAGGGCTCGGCAGTACATTCAGCACGGGTGTGCGGGTTATCTAGTATACGTGGTAGATACGCGGGCCAGAGATCAAGTTTCAGTTTCAGAGGTTCTGGTGGTCAGGGAGTTTGCTTATGTGTTTCCGGAGGAGTTACCCGGAGTGCCTCCGGAGAGGCAGGTAGAGTTTAGGATCGACCTAGTGCCAGGTGTGGCCTCTATCGCCAAGGTGTCGTACCGGTTGGCACCACCAGAGATGCAGGAGCTGTCATCACAGCTACAGGAACTGCTGGGCAAGCAGTTCATTCGTCCGAGCAGTTCCCCGTAGGGAGCGCCGATACTCTTCGTCGGGAAGAAGGATGGTTCACACTGGATGTGCATTGATTACCAGGAGTTGAACAAGTTGACGGTGAAGAACTGTTATCTACTCCTGAGGATAGATGATCTTTTTAGATCAGTTGCAGGGAGCATCTTGGTTCTCCAAGATAGACCTGAGGTCCGGGTACCATCAGGTTAGGGTTAGGGAGGAGGACGTAGAGAAGACCGCGTTCCGAACTCGTTATGGACATTACGAGTTCGTGGTGATGCTGTTTGGGCTCACCAACGCGCTAGCAGTATTTATGGACCTGATGAATCGGGTCTGCAGGCCGATGCTCGATCACTCGGTCATAGTATTCATCGATGATATCTTGGAGTATTCCAAGACCCGAGAGCAGCATGAGGAGCATCTGCGAGAGTTATTGGGAGTTCTAAGGCTGTAACGACTTTATGCCAAGTTATCGAAGTGCGAGTTTTGGTTACGAGAGGTCCAGTTCCTGGGACACCTCGTTAACCAGGAGGGAATTTTGGTCGATCCGGCCAAAATCGAGGCGGTTATGCAGTGGGAAGTTCTGAAATCTCCCTCAGACATCAGGAGCTTCTTGGGATTAGTAGGGTACTACCGGAGATTCATACAGGACTTCTCCAAGATTGCAGTACCCCTCACTCGTCTGACGAGGAAGGGGTGGATTTCCGGTGGGGCCCCGAGCAGCAGAGGGCGTTTGAGACCCTCAGACAGCGACTATGCGAGGCTCCAGTCTTGACTCTTCCGGAGGGAGTCGAGGATTTTGTGGTGTTCTGTGATACATCTATCATGGGACTGGGAGCGATCCTCATGCAGAGAGGACGGGTGATAGCTTATGCATTGCGGTAGTTGAAGTCGCATGAGACAAGATACCCTACACATGATCTAGAGTTGGGAGCGGTGGTATTTTCTCTCAAGATATGGAGGAATTACCTATATGGGGTCCTCTGTACCATCTACACGGACCACAAGAGCCTGAGACACATCATGGATTAGCCGAACCTGAACATGAGACAGGGCAGGTGGCTGGACGTAGTCAAGGACTACGACTGTGAGATCCTTTACCACCTGGGTAAGGCGAACGTGGTGGCGAGCGCTCTGAGCAAGTCAGCTGGATCATCCACTCCAGTGACATGTATGAGGATTTCAGTGGATTCTCCACTTGTGGGCTTGATCAGGGAAGCCCAGGCAGAGGGTATGCGTCAGGAAAATTGGAAGCTGGAGAGGATTAGGGGTGAGAACACATGGTTTGTTCAGGATAACCGGGGATTATTGACCCGTTTCAGTCGGGTCTGGGTTCCGATGTATGGTGAAGTCAGACAGACCATATTGGAGGAGGCTCATAAATCTCACTTCTCTATTCACCCGGGGGCCACCAAGATGTACCGGGACTTGCGATTGAGTTACTGTTGGTCGTCCATGAAGCGAGAAATCGCTTGGTATGTCGAGAGGTGCTTGACCTGCAGGATGGTCAAGGCCGAGCACCAGAGGCCGCATGGAAAGCTGCAGCCCCTGGAGATTCCCATGTGGAAATGGGAGCAGATCACGATGGACTTCATCACCAAGCTGCCGAGAACGACGAAGGAGTTGACGCTATTTGGGTCATCGTGGATCGATTGACCAAGAGTGCTCATTTTCTGCCCATTCGGGAAAGCTCATCGGCCGAGAAGCTGGCCGATGTGTATATACGCGAGATTGTCGCTCGCCATGGTGTTCCGGTCTCTATCGTCTCAGACTGTGATGTTCAGTTTACCTCCCGATTTTGGTAGAAGTTCCACGAGGAACTGGGCACACGGCTGCACTTCAGTACATCCTAGGGGTGGAATTGGTACGGTACCAATTTATTTTTCTCTAAACCGTGTACCGTACCAACTATAATTGGTATAAAAAAATTTCTACCGGTACCGTACCAAGTATACTTGGTACCAATTTATTTGGCTACCAACATGTTTGGTTGGTACAAATTGGTAATGGTATATACCAACTTTTTTTAATTTTCTATTGTAAGATTTAAAAATAAGCAAAGACATCGGGATTTTGATGTTTAGTATAAAAATTAGTTATGTAGTTCTTTTTGTTTACAAAAGAATTCTACTAAAGCGAAGACATCGGGATTTTGATGTTTAGTATAGAAATTAGTTACGTAGTTCTTTTTGTTTACAAAAGAATTATACTAAAGTAATGTTAAAGCAACGTTTTAATTTTATGCTTTAACGTGGTAATAACTGTTGACTAATACAATCAAATGACTAATATAATGTTATTAAAACTGTAAACACTAAACACAATTAATGTTATTAAAACTGTAAACACTAGAGTGGACCGGAAAGACCGAAGGCCCAGCG